CCACCCCACAGAGATAGTGCTGGGGGGGGGAACCGGGTTTCAAACCAGCTGCCTTTCCCCCATTCTTACTGCCTCTCTGACAGAGGCATCAAGGGGGGGCAACTAGCTGAGTCACAACTTGAATACCCGATAAGCATGTTTATTGAGTAGTTGACTAGTCGCTTACATCCCTACATGATTACACACACCAGCAGCAAGTTGGTACATAAAGGGGGAATAAGTTGTGTCACACATCAGGATGCATTTCTGATATGGATAAGGTATAAACAGTTGCTACCAGCAACAATTTCATTCTTAAAGAAAAAGTAGGTTGTGAATACACTTCAGGATCTCCAGTCACTCCATTTCAGTCAATATGAGTAGAGCCCTGTGGGGATACAAATTTTGTATCTAGAACTGCAAATTTGTGGATATCCACAGCTCATTTTTGCAGATAAAACCGTGTATCTGCATCCACATCTGCAAAAATGAGCCACAGATATCCGTGGATTTGCAGGACTCTAAATGTGAGATTCACACCACCTACATATGCAGCAATAAATTATGAGCAATGTCCCCTCCCCCCAAAAACAACAATGTCAGTGGCATGATAGCTCCAATTTACAGAGACTGAGACGAGTCCCACTAATCAGTTAGGCTTCTTATTTGGGTTCATGCTTTCACTCCACCCTTATTTTCAGTGTGTTCACTCCTCAGTCCTCCCCATATCAACCAAGATTCACTTGCAGGGTTCATTAGTTGCATTTAGAGACAGGTGAAAGACAAGGAGGCTCCATCTCTGAGGAGGCTCAACTGAACTTAGCTTGCCAAGAATGGAGACAAAATGAACTAGCTCAAATCACTAGGAACCAATACAGCAACCTGCATCTAAATCCACCTCAAAGAGCTAAGGATATTTTTCTTAACATTCTACCACTATTTCCTGAAACCTTTGTCCCATCTTTTAAATGAGTCTACATTAATACCAAAATAGCTTCTTTTATTATGAACACATTTCTCCCAGTTTGGTGCTCACTAGGGCCATAATAGTGTATTCAACAAAACAACCAATAAGCCGGTGCTTATTGAGTAACGCTATCAACTACACACAACACTCCTCTCCCCCCTCACAAGTAAATTTTTTAGTGAGCTGGCCAAGAGGTTGGCTCAGTCCCAACTCACACTGGGACCTAGCATCAACCCTCACTGCAGCTCTGTACTACAAGCACTAAGAGCTGGCGTGCGTGCAGGCTGGCTCAGTCCTGGCTCATGCTGGGACCAGCATCAACCCCTGTGCTGGCTCTTAGGGTACATCTAGACTACATGCCTCTAGCAACAGAGGCATGTAGATTAGACTACCCGGCATAGGAAAATGAAGCGGCGATTTAAATAATCGCTGCTTCATTTAAATTTACATGGCTACCGCACTGAGCCGATCAGCTGTTCGTCAGCTCAACGCGGTAGTCTGGACGTTCCGCGGTGGACATCAAAGATATTTGTCAACCTCCCAGGTATGCCTCATCCCAGTTTTTGTTGACTACACAATTAACAAATTACACGCTTCCTAACATCCCTAGTGTACATAACTGTTGCAGGATCAGGAACATAACAGGCTTAAATATAACAACAGCATGGGAAAAAGCCAACTCCTTACTTTTCTGGAACAGGAGAAGCAACATCCCGATCATACAACCTGGCTTGCCAGGGAAACAGAACTATTCCTCGATATCCAAATACACTGTGAAGAAATAGCTGAAAGGGGAGGGAAAATCATAAACTTCAGTCCTGTGATAATTCACAGCCAATAGACTAAAACCCATGAACAATAAAGGAAAGGACGAACCACCTCACATTTCTAAGGAGGCAGCATTTTATTTTTATTATGCAGGAAGAAGCAGCACGATATGGACACAACCTAGATTGATGGGGCAGGAGAGAAGAAAGAATCCAAGCCTCACTCCATTGCAGGGCTCTAGAGGAGAGCGGAGACAGCACAGGGTGCCCAGCGGGCTTAGGGGGCGATAACTGGGAATGCGGCCAACGAAAGGCGCGGGGCGCGGCAGCCCTGTGGGCTCGGCAGAGGCAGCAGGTTCCAGCCCCATTGCAGGGCTCTAGAGGAGAGCGGAGACAGCACAGGGTGCCCAGCGGGCTTAGGGGGCGATAACTGGGAATGCGGCCAACGAAAGGCGCGGGGCGCGGCAGCCCTGTGGGCTCGGCAGAGGCAGCAGGTTCCAGCCGCTGCGTGGCACCTTCAGTATCGCGGGCAGGAGCAGAGCGCTCGGCGCGGCCCCGCCTACCTGGCCCGTTTCGTATTTGCCGTGCTGCCTGGGCACCTCGAACACCCCCACGGTCTCCAGCACTTTGCCTTCTGCCCGGTGCCTGCGGGGAGACCGG